CAGATCCATGGGCTAATACACATGAAAATTGGGAAATTTGGGCGATTTTTTAAAAAACTTGTAAAGGAGAAAATGGGAGTTAAAAAAATGGTGTGAGTATATGTAAAGTTTTTCCAACTCATTACGGAGGTCCTTATAAAAATTTTTGAGAAATTTTTTTTGGATGCTCTAGGCGTTAGATCAATGGGCTACACACGAAAAATCAAGGAATTTGGGCGATTCTTAAAAAAAGACTTGTAAATGCAAATATGAGCGTTAAAAAATTATGTGAGTATACGTGAAGGTTCCCCAACTCATTACGGAGGGTCTCATAAAGTTTTTTGAGAAAATAATTTTGGGTGCTCTGGGTGCCATATCCATGGGCTAATACTAATGAAAAATTGGGAAATTTGGGCAATTCTTAAAAAATGGGCTTGTAAATGCGGAAATGAGCGTTAAAAAAATTGTGTGAGTAAACGTGAAGGTTCCCCAACTCATTAAGGAGGTCCTCATTAAGTTTTTTGAGAAAAACATTTTGGGTTCTCCTAGCGTCAGATCCATGGGCTAATACACATGAAAATCGGGAAATTTGGGCGACTCTTAAAAAATGGCTTGTAAATGCGGAAATGGGTGTTACAAAAATAGTGTGAGTGTATGTAAAGGTTCTCCAACTCATCACAGATGTCCTCATAAAGTTTTTTAGAAAAAATTTTTAGGTGCTCCGGGTGCCAAATCCATGGGCTAATACACACGATAAATCAAAAAAATTGGGCGATTTAAAAAAAAAGGCTTGTAAATGCGAAAATGAGCGTTAAAAAAATGGTGTGAATATATGTAAAGGTTTTTAACGCATTACAGAGGTCCTCATAAAGTTTCTTGAGAAAAAAAAATTGGATGCTCTGGGCGCCAGATCCATGGGCTTAATACATACAAAAAATTGAGAAATTTGGGCGATTCTTTAAAAGAGACTTGTAAATGCGGAAATGACCGTTAAAAAATGGTGTGAGTATATGTGAAGGTTCCCCAACTCATTACGGAGGTTCGTATAAAGTTTTTTGAGAAATTTTTTTGGGTGCTCCGGGTGCTAGATCGATGGGCTAATACACACGAATAATCAGAGAATTTTGGCGATTCTCAAAAAAGGGCTTGTAAATGCGGAAATGGGCGTTAAAAAAATGGTGTGAGTATATGTGAAGGTTCCCCAACTCATTAAGGAGATTCTCATAATGTTTTTTGAGAAAAAAATTCGGGTGTTGCGGGCGCTAGATCCATAGGCTAATACATATGAAAACTCGGGGAATTTGGGCGATATTTAAAAAAAAGCTTTGTAAATGCGGAAATGAGCGTTAAAAAATTGTGTAAATATACATAAAAGTTCTCTAACTCATTACGAAGGTCCTCACACATGAAATGATACATGTTTAACTTAATGAGGACATGAGCTAAGATAATAGGTAATGGAGGTCACATAACAGAGTAGAAGGTCAATAAGTGGTTGAACATTATTTCAATTTCTCACAAGATAAGCATGGTGGTAATTAGATACACCATATATGTTTCCTCGTTCGTAGATAGTAGCATTATTTTTGTTATCTCACGTTATATCATATGCTCCAATTATCACATTAATTGGCTATTATTACTATTCCTTATATTTTGAATACTATGTTGTGCTTTTTCTTATAATTATTTATTATATCATATTTACTTTTCTATTTTTTTTCAAACTATGACTTAAGTCGTGGTATTTCGAAAATAAAGTTTTTATCTTCACCAGGTAAAATAAAATTTGTACACACTCTATTCTATTACTGTCATAAAATTTAAGGGGTCAAAATGTATAAAAATAAGTTAGGTGGGTGCAAAAGCCACTTATTACTAATTAAAGGAAAAATGGTGCACACTCATCATTTAGATTAAAGTGTAAATTGAAGTTCAAAAGCTAACGACGTCGTTGAGAGTGATAGGGTTTTGGCCGCAGCCGGTGGTTTCAGCACTGTGATTTCTAGGGTTTAGGCCGGAGAAGACGACGGAGGAAGATGAAGCCGGTAGTAGGAACAGTAGTGTCTAACAAGATGCAGAAATCAGTAGTGGTGGCAGTGGATAGACTCTTCCACAACAAGGTTTACAATCGATATGTCAAACGGACCTCCAAATTCATGGCTCATGATGATAAGGATGAATGCAACATCGGTGACCGCGTATATACTCTCTCTCTCTATTATCTGTTGTGAAAAATCGTTTTTTTTTTTCAAGTTTGCTGATGATATTGTTTTGATCTTTGATTATCTGAGCATTTTTAATTATAAGCTCGTTAGCTTGCAATTGGCTTCAAAATAGTTGTTTGTGTCATTGATTAAATAAAAAAAACACCTAAATTTACCCATTACCTAGACTAATTGTAGAGATTCATTTGTGTGTAGTTGTGATCTGTTTGTGTGTAGTGGAATTAGGTGAAAAATTGACGTCAAAATACATGTTTGTTCCAGTGCAAATTAATGAAACGGTTAAAATTACTCATACCTATACACATTGTAGAGATACATTTCATTTTCCTAATTCTTGGTTGGCCTCTCCTTTTCTTGTAATCTGGTTGTAGGTACCATGAGTTGGTGAAAGATTGGTCTTTTCTAGTGATGTAGCTGATTATGTTATTTTGTTTTTTTTTTTATTACTCAAGTATATTAGGTTTTGAGCCTGTAAACTTGCAATGAGACTCCAAAGTAATTGTTTGTTTTAATGAAGAACAAAGAAGCACCTAAAAATAGCATTTCTAAACTCATTGTGGAGCTTCTTTTTTGTCCAAATTCGTAGTTGGCGATTTGTTCTTATCTTCTGTGCTTGTAATCTGTTTTTTGGTACATGAAGTTGGTGAGTCATCCTCTTTTTTTAGTTCAAAATTTTGTCAACGGTGTTATTTCCCACACCCAAGGGTGTGTGTAAGTGTTCAATAAGAGGGTTGTGGGATACCATGAGGTCTCAGGATCAAACCCAAGCGATGGCAAAAACACCAAGTGATTTCTTCCGGTGTGTCCAAGCCTTGCTGGACAGAGTTACCCGGTACTTGTGTTGATGAGTGGTAGAAGGTACTATGTGGAATTAGATGAGGTGTGCTCAAACCCATACACCACAATTATAAAAAAAGAAATGATGTTATTAATAATGTTATTTCCTGGTTGCAACTTTGTATATAGAAGGGGGTTTCATGGTTGGTGTATATTCTAATTATGATAAACCTTTGAAGACTAAATTTGAGTGGCACTGGTTATAAGAGGATTTCTATGATGGACTACAATTATTTGGAATTGTATTGTGGTTGATTGATGTGTTCTTCTAATGGAATTTTTTATTATATTACACCTTGAGTTATACAAGACAAGAGAAAAGGGTAGACTTTCCCTCTGAATATTAACACTTGTGAAATACACTTCTTATCTCGAGTTTGAGGAAGAAAGTGAGTGGTGGGATGGAAGCCATGTGCGTAATTTTAGTTCAGGGAAGATTGCAGATTCCAATATAAAAAAGATTTGGTAAATTCTGAGTCTAGATGATGTATATATTTCCTTCATGTGATTTAAGGTTCTTTTGCTTTTTCCCTGTCTAATCATAATTAAATTTCTACTATAGCTGCGGTAGGTGCAACGGAACTGATTTGTCAAGATGGTTACTTTAATCCTTTAATGTCATTGCAGTAGAACTTTCAGTTACGGCCTTCATGTACCATTGTTGCATTGTATCTGACAGTCATTCTTGTAACTTCCTGCTTCTTATTTAGGATCAATATCTCTCAATTTTTATACAGTCGTGAATTTTGCTGAAGCTTATTAGTGATTATTTAAGATTATAATTGGGGAACGAGATGTTGAGTTCTGGATGAAATTCCAATTTCAGGTTAAGTTGGATCATTCAAGACCATTGAGCAAGCGTAAGCACTGGGTTGTAGCTGAAATTTTGAAAAGAGCAAGAATTTATGTGCCTCCACCACGAACTACCACTGAGAGGGTCAACAAGACTGAAGTGCCCCCTAATGCTAGTTAGAGCTGAAAGAGAATTACTATTTCAATCTTCGCCTTGTGTATCCAGAACAAATTGCCTATTTACGCAACTTTTTTGATGTTTTTGCTCATCTACTGAGAAACAAGTACATGTCAGCTGCTGTTTCGGCGTTGATCAACTAGATTGAAGACCATGCTAGTCAGAAACTGGTGTTTTCCAGGTTAAAATGGTCTGCATTGGTCAATAAACCCAAACAGCCAAAATAGTTGTTAGTGAAAGTTCCTAAGGAAGTAGGAATTCATAATAGTTGAGGCTGTTAAGCAACTAAATGTTGTATGTCCTGCAATTGCCTTGTTATCTTTTTCCATAGGATCTAATCTAAAATCTGGCACAAATTATGGTTTTCTTGTGTTACTGGCATTCCTGGCTATGAAGGTCATTTCATCTTTTTTGTTGTGAATTTGTCTGAGTTGTGCGTCTTAATAGCGCTCTTAAACGTAGCGACAGAGAGCTATTCTTTTCCCAACCATGCACTGCACACATTTTACTACTTCTGATCAGAATATGGTGTGTTGTGTATAATCTTACAAAATCAAAATTTGAAGCAGAGTTGCTGCTAGTGAGGATTGTTTACTTGCTTATGCAAACAATGATGGACAAACAATTGAATAAAATGAAAGTCATCTATCTTTAGCCAAATCTTGTTATCTGATCTATTATTTGGTTGTTATGGCAAAATGTTATTATAGACAATATGTAATACCATGTTATAAATAATAGTTGATTGTATATATTGCTTATACTTCAATACCTTTTTCTAAGCAGGATATCTGATTTAACATGAGAAATTTACATGGGAAGACATGTCCGTTTTCATTCACTTAATAAACCAGTTTAATTAAACATTGCAATTTAGTTAGCTTTGACTTACTATGATTTCTCAAATAACATTGTAAAGAATATTTTTTTTTTGTCAACAAATGGATTTGATTCCTGCCTTTTCTTTTCATATAAATAGTGTTGAACATACACAAGCTAACAACTTGATGATATTACAACTCTTTAAACAGCTGAAGAAAACAGTATTTTACCCCTCTTCAGAAGTGTAATAAAAGGAAGAAGATATGGTAAAACCCCCTTTTCACAAGCATAACTATGTAGGAACTTTAATCAAATGCCCAAAATTTTCTGCTTCTACGTTGACGTGAAAACAGAGTTTCTTCTGTATCTGATTTGAACTGAAAACCTTCAATAGTCAGTCCCAGAAGCATTCCTAGAAAACATATCTGTCTGGGGGTGCTTCTTCTGGAATCTGAAAAAAAGCAACAAGAATTTAAAAGCGCGAACAATGGACGACTTCAATATGTAATAGTTTTTGTTATTTCAAATGTTTTATGGTAGCATTGAATGAAATACATGGGTAGACATGCTTGCAGATGCACCATTTATCAACTGCCAAAATTGGCTAAACGCATAATGGAATGCTATAAATGAATACTCTTCTAGGGCGCTATGATGTTCCAGTATCATATTTCAAACAACATAGTATCATATTCCAAACAACATATGATACTCTTCGACCATACAAAACTGCATGACCATAATCCCATCGAGAAGTTTTCAAGGAATGTTACTTCTATATTTAGTTTTTCCTATAAGGTCTCTTGATTCAAAATGAGCTGAGGCTCCTTCGGAAACAGCCTCTCAGGTCTATTGAAGTCACGTGATACAAAATGCCCAAAAGAAAGGAAAATATTAAGAGCATACCTCCCCAATTTTCCATTCCTTCTTTGTCCAAATGCTGTTATCCCCGCTGAAGTCCTCTGTTGATGCGGTACTCCTGCAAAATAACGGCAGCAGAAAGAACAACCAAAAGGACCTCATCAAAAAGTTACGATTTCAAACTTCAATAGAAAACGAAAAGACCAAAATTTTGATGAATTAATTCTCCATAGTCTAAATAATAATCATGGCACAAGTTAAGTAACTACTGCTGGAACTTACGTCAAGTTGATACTGACAGGGGATGCCGTAACAGGAAAACCCCCTTGAGAAGGAGTAGGAAGTTGGCCACCAGAGGGATTAGCAAAATGTGGTGAGGTCGTAGAGGTGGAAAATAAGTTCCTCCCAGAACTTGCGAAAATATTGCTGGGAGTGGAAGGATTTTGACATGACTGGGTAGAGACTTGGGTTCCGAAGCCAAAGGAACCTGCAAACAAAGTCAAGCTAAATAAAACGCATACTCAAGAACTGACAATACTCGAAAACCCTGTCAAATTACCTGATGCTGATGTATTCCCAAATGAAAAAGCATTCGCCCCAGACGAATTTGATGTCTTAAAAGAGTTCCCAGGGAGATTGGGTTGCCCAAATGTACTAGTTGGTGGAGTTGATGTCCTGTTAATTTGAAAAAATGAAGTCAGAAGCTGGTAAAAGCCAAAACTCTAGCATATGCAAATTTATGGTACAAACTACATGTGTGAGAAAAATAATCTTTTTATTGTTTTGCACTGCTCAGTAGCTTCTCAACTGCGGGATCTGTTCTAGTATTCACAGAATCAACTGAGTAGTACCAAAGACGATTTTAAAGAATTTCAGTGCTGGATGTTATATAAAAAAAGGAACTGAGGAAGATTTGGAAGACAATTCCAATCTTCATATGATGGATGGTCAGCAAGTAAAGAGACCAAGGAAAAGCTGCAGCCATCTACATATTGAAATATAAATGTCTTAGTTTATTGGCTTGTTGGATGTAAATTAAATCATGTTAAGAAGATGTGCGGTGATAGATTTTATTAGCTCATTACTAATTGATTTTGGTTTAGCTATCAATAAAATTAACTTATCAAAAAAGCCAAATTCTAGTATAAATGCACTAATGTAGGTTCGTATGCATCAGTTCTAACCCTGTATTCAGTATGGTTCCCAACTGACTAAAACTTGAGGCTGAAGGAGGAAAACTGCTTTGAGCACTCGACAATGCATTTGGTGCAGCACCAGGAAAAGGACTTTGAGCACTCAATGAGGCACCAGGAAAAGGACTTGAGGCACTTGGTGCGGCACCAGGAAAAGGACTTTGAGCACTCAATGAGGCACTTGGTATGCCACCAGGAAAAGGACTTTGAGCATTAGGAGCAGAAGTTGATGTAGATGCATAAGGATTTCGCAATAGATTTTCAAATTCAGCTACTTTAGAATTAACTAGGCTCCTCTCTCTCTCAACCTGCATTAACACGAGGACAGAAAAAGGTTTGTTAGAACTTAGAAGCAAGATCATAAGATGATATTAGTCAATGAAATGATAAGAGTTTACTAATAAGTTGTGAATCATGTTAAGTTAGTTATCTCTCTAACTAATCTAAAGCTCTCTGCTGCACTTAAAAGTCTTCCTTTTCGATAAGATAGAATTCTTTGATTGATTTTTTTGAGTAAATTGCATTTATGCATATATTCAGATAATGAAAACAATTTTCAATTGCATCAATCAGTATCAGCCAAGAAGACAGATCAAGAAGGTAGCAAGAGTGGTGTCTTACAATAGACATCAAGCTCTGTCCACGTTTCGCATCATCGTATGCTGCTGCTCGCAGCTCTTCATAGCTAACATCACCAGTAATATCACATGGACCGCTGCATACAAAACAAATGGCAACAGCTGATCAATCTCTTTGATCTACCGATTTCATGAAACAGGCATGTGTACATAGAATTTGAATATGGGCCCACCAGATATATGCAGGGTTCCATAGAATAGAAAGATGCTTCTTTTTCTTTTTTTCTACTTTCAGTTTTAGAATAGAGAAAGAGTAGAAACTAAGAGGATGCTCTCTAGAAGAGTTGCAACAAGTGCACCCCATATGATATTTTAGTTTAAAAAGAATGTGAAAATATGCAATCACTTATCCAACCAAAATTTCTCAGACTAAGATTTGAAAATTGTCATCTCCCAAGATAGGCAGTTATAAAATCGCCAATTAGCTTCAATTGAACAAGCTCAACCTTGAAGAAAAAAAAGTGGTAGGCCAATGTTGAACTCTGAAGAAGGCGAAGGCTGGGCGAGAGACAAGGGAAGAACAAATATGGGGGGCAATAGCTGATAAAAAGCACAAAATAAAAAGATTATACTAGTATTTGTGTTACTGCATGATTCGTTCTTTGAGTAGTAGATCATTCAGGGAAGAGAGAGAACTCTATGGGCTCTGTTGAATTGTCTCCAAACTCTATTTGGCAAATGAAAGCGAAGGGTTAGAGATCTTCATTTTCCAACTCATTAACTCTCGATAATAATTAAAGAAGCTGGGTGAGTACTTAAATTGGCAAATAAAAGAGAGGGCTGGGGATCTTCATATTCCAATTAATACTAATTAAAGAAACTAGATGACTCACAAAACAAAAATGGAATAATCTTCAATGGGTCTTCTTCATGAAAGAAACTCAAAGTATGACACAAGCTGATTTAGCAAAGTGAGTGAAGTAAAGATAAGATCTAAAACATACTTTTTACGATGACCATAGCAGGTAAGAAGCCACAATGGTTTCTCATTATTAAAATCTTCCACAATCTGGCGTCTGCATGACTCAGCATCTGTGCAGCTTCACATGTAGCAGAACCAAACCATTAATTCCACTTAAATCATAATGCTAAATGCAAAACAAAAAGGTTTGTGCCACAGAACACTCACGTGTGATTAGGTGCTACAGGCTGATTGTCGGTTTGCCGCGATGAAGAACTGTTGGTAGTTGCAGAACGAGTCCACTTGTTTTCAAAAGGCTAAAAATGAAAAAAAGAAGTTAGTATGCATCATGTAGACCTGAAAGAGTTTATTCAAGATACGCCGGATGACTCAATCCTGGGAGAGTTTACTGCTAGGTCACCTAGACTTTTACAGTGTCATAAGGCCTATCAATTCATTTTAATTCTTCATAGAACCTAGAAAACGGGGTAGAATCAAACCTACACATACTCATACAAAAGTCCATAATCATAGTTGTATTACATAAATATGTCATTGATCTGATAAAGAAATAATACTGAAAGTTCCAAGAACCATACATAGATATTGACTCGCCAGTACAGTGGAAAACTTTAATTACCACAAATACAAAACAGTAAGTATTGAATTCCACATACTTATGTATAACAATATTTAACTCCATATGTCTCCATTAATCAACATTTCCTTTGGAATTTAGATTCATGTGACTTTTTAGTTTGAAGATAGCATCAGCGGCATTATTTTGTTTGCTGAAATCAAAAGGTGGCCTTGTAAGGATAAAACTTCAGATAGCATATGAAATTGCTTAGCTGTCTTGCTATTGATACTTCTTTTTCAGTAAATGAAAAGGACTGTATGTTGTCAACCAAAATCCTGTTGCTTCTCTATATGTAAACCCCACAACAATTACATTCTTATAACACATATTATGAAAATAAAAGGCCTGACGTGACTGAATTTTCAATGGTTTATCTAACTTTCAAGGCTAAATAGCAGCAATGACAGATTGGAACGGAAAGGAAATAGGGATGGGAAGTTCACTTTGAAGACTTGTTACAATGTTCTAACACGAAGACCCCTTGGTAATTCTGAAGGACATAGGAAACAAGTCTGGAAATCAAAAGCCCCCACTAAGTCACGTGTTTTGTATGGTTGGTGAACAAAGAAGTTTGTGTTGCCATTTCAAAAAAAGAAAAGAAAAGGAGGAAGAAGCTTGCCTTATCGAAGACAACTTGCAAAGAAGTGGCTTTTATCTAAGTAACAAATGCTACATAAGTTGAAAGAACTCTGGAACAATGAGACCTCTATTATTACACTGTTCAGTGGGATTTTAAGTTTGGCAGATGTGCTTCAGTATTTTGGGACTAAAATGGGTGACGTTAAGATCTACAGGTGATGTTTTAATTTGTTGGAGTAGGATGGCTTCGTTGGGATTTGAACATGAGACCTCATGGTTCTCAACCCACTTCATTGGGGACTAGGCCATACCCATGGGACATTTCTAAATTTTTTACTTCCAATTCTTTATCTTTATGACTCACCATCGTTTCTTCAACTTTTAAAAATAATACCATTGAGCACTAGCAACATGTTAACACTTGTTGAGACATAAAGATAAAGAATGATATGAATTCTAGTGTCCAGGATTAAAATATCTAGAGAAGCATTATCGCTTAGCAGGTAAAATTGAGAATATGGAGAGAAGACTCCTCAAAATGGTACTGGGGGAGCATAGTATTTTTATTAAATATAATAATGCTAAATAATCTGCAGCAACCAGCTATAATTAGAGAGTAATGGCTAAAGTACCTTGTATTGATTCTGTTTGAGCCCCAAATCACTGGACCCTCTTGGCTGGGAGTTGCTCTGAACACCAAAACCGAAAGGGTTGGACTTTGTCTGCTGCATATTCGTATTCTGAAAATTAGAGGATTGGCTGCCAAACCCAAATGGATTTGGCTTCGGTTGTTGTTGGGCAGCATGAAGAAATTTACAACGTTCACCATATTGACAGCTGGATGAATAAGACAACAATCAGATCCTGTTTTTCATACTTAAACAAAGGAACCTAATCATAACAAGGATTACTCAACTCCCATAAAGAACTACTAATTAAAATAACACTTCCTATGTTTTAAGTTAAAGACATCATTTTTACTTTCTAAGACATAACAGCAAACACCACCTTTCTAAGTTCTAAGATGGAATATCATACCAATTATTATTCGATTTAAGGTCAATATTATGTAATTTGAAAAGGAAACACAACCCCCTACCTCCATCCCTTGAGTTTACTTCCCAACCTAGCTTTATATATCCCGATATGTTCAAAAATAAAAAAGTTTCAATCAGGGATCTGTCCCCCCTCCATTCAACCTTTTGGTAGGTCCCTGGTATCCCATACTAATGTAAATAAGAGGCATACTTAACATTCATCCTTGATGAGTTCACAGAAAAAGGAAATCCTTGATGAGTTCACAAAAAAAGGAAAGAGACATTCTTTTTTAAACTGAATAACAAGAAAAGTAAGAAAAACAAATTGAAAAGGAGGGAGTAATATTTTTTCCTTCGCTAGGATTTGAACCTCAGACATCATGATTCTCAACCCTCTTCATTATCCACCGGCCACACCCTTTGACCCTAAAGCTCATGACTTTACTTGGCTAAGATCATTCAACCATTACCACAAAGATGAGTACAACAATCAATCAACCAACTCCTCATCAATCCTAAACCACTAGTGCAATAGGAATCCTCTAAACTCATCCCCCACCCCCGCCATACCAGATAACTCTATCCACCAGACTTGGACAAATATTAAGAAATCACCAAGTCTTTCTACCTTCATTGGGATTTAAACTAGAGACATCATCATTTTCAACCCACTTCATTAACCATCGGCCACACCCTTTGATGCTAAAGCTCATGACTTTACTTAGCTAGCATCTTTCAACCATTACAATAAAGATTGAGTACAACAATCAATCAACCAACTTCCCATCAATCCTAAGCAACTTCACCCCTACC